GCTATGGAGTCGAATTCGATTCTTCGTCTAAATTTAGTTGCGAAGGAGCGTGGCTCACTTCAGCACTCAATCGTTCACTCTCCATAGAAAACTTAACCAATCACTCCTAATGACAAATTTCACTTTCATTTAAATCAGGGGAATGATCGAATTAGTTCACAGGAACTTTTAAACCATGTCTCAGGTTTGTCCGTCGTCGTCGCATCAACTGGTAGCAGCCGCGGTGGCTTTCCGTCGTGCTCGGCGTAAATTTCCAAAAAATTACGGTCTCTCTCCTACCGCTGAAGAAACAAAGGTGTTTGAGAAAGTAATTGTCTCACGAATCGCTTAAAAATATTATTCCTTTAATTTATTAATTCTATTTTATTTTTTAAGGATCAGTAACTACCACAAAGTACACTTTTTACGTGTACTTTGTTTTTACTCTTTAGAAATGTTATTATCATTACTAAACGAGCCACTTAGAACCCAAAAGTGACAGAAAGGCAAAAGCCAAAAAACTCCACTTTTTGATATTCTTCCAATTTTAGTATCAAAGCCCATGCTTGGTGCTTAAGTTTTCATAAATAAAACAAATTTAGTAAATTGTATTTTATAGTTACTCACTTTGTCTTCTGACTGGCTCAAATAAAAAATACGAATGTAGTGTCGTTATTTTTTTAGTAGATTTCCTTTTATTTTTATTAATCGTCAAATTATGAACGTTCACTTTTACGTACAATTGCTTCTGGCAATAATTAGAATCAGGCTGAAAGTGCGAGTGGTACCGAGGAGCCAAATAATCAAGAGAATTTGCAGTTCACGTCGAAAAAGTGCTCGAACGCAAGATCGAATCGCGGCGAATCACGGTGGAACGACGAGTGCGGGGAAAACGCCTCGGCGAAGGAAAACTTTCTTCAGAAACCAATAATTTGCAGTTGTTGTCGTAAACGCAACGAACAGTGCAGTTCTGGAGATACGCTCGATATCGTTCCGAGCAAACAGTACAACGGGATCGCGAAGAAAAACGAATTTTCGAAATCGGATCAAACGGAAAAGTATAACACTTTCAACATCACGTGCTTTTCAATTCGATCAATTTTTGTTGAGATAAATTTGCAGCAATTACAGTAGGAATTTTACGAAAATTCGTATTAATTGGAGATATAGAGATATTAGATTTTAATTGAATTATAATGTTTCATTTCGTAGAGAGATTTCGTTGAAAATTAAATTAGAAAATTTGGACAGTTTTGGGATTGATTATAATTCGTAATATTCTGAGATGAAAGTTACTTGGAAATATCGACGTTCGGAAACCGCAAGTTACGGAGAACAAATTGACGATATTGAATTAATAATATCACTTGACATTTTGCGAAAATTTCCCGTCCAACTATTTGAAAAGCTTCGGGAATTCATTTCCTGCAATTAATCATTTGCGTTGTAACGTGTGGAAAAGTTGGAAATTGTTTTATCATTAACCCTTTGAGTACTCACTAAAATCTGGCAAACAAAATGGAAATTTTCTTATGATTTAAATTTTGTTTCCTACTTTCTCTTATCAATTTTTTACTAATTTCAATCAGCTCTTTTTAAAGGAGCAATCTTCACCTTCAGATATAGCATTAAACAAACAATTAAAAATCTATTAAAAGAATTATTTTACATTCTGCATAAGCGCCTTAATAAGTAAAAAAGAGTTTGACATTGTTATTCGTTGTGCACACCGAAAAAAATCCAGAATATTGCCGAAATTTTGATAACTATTAGGTTGGCAACTAAATTCACTAACTTCTTTTTTTATTCCGAATAAACTTATTCGTTGATTATTTCTGTCGATCTATACATCATTCGAAAGCTCTCAATTTTATAATTACTTGGATACATAAATTTCTCTCTGAATTTTGACCTACGTATAATTTTATAAAAAAAGATCTCAAGGTCCCGAACTTAATTACCAATCTAACACCCTTTAAATTCTTCCTAAGATTTCCTTTCGCTTCAGCGTCAAAAGGAACATTTCATTGAATAAGGCAACTTTAATCCGATCGAATATTACACGTAATCGAAATATCAGATGCAACACGAGACGCGTTTACTCCTTCAATTTCCAGTTGCGATACGAAGGCGGCGAGAAGTTTCGCAACAGAGTCTCGAAATTCAAGCCACCGTACTTCATATTCCCATTTAGGAAGGCGAAGCCCGAAAGAAACTTCGGCCAAATTGGATTCCGTTAATCTTCTGTACGACAGGGACCGGGACGAGGTGGATAATGTTAAAGGTAGCGGCCCGTCCGAGGAGAAGCCGAGTGAGTTGAGATTCTTCGCGTTCTTGAATCACGACCAACGGGTCCACGTGAATTATCGCAATAATTTCGTCCCCGTTAGACTGCAACGGGGGAGGAAGGGTTGGTTGCAAGTCGATTCACCGAAATTTGCGGTGCACCTTCGCCACGGAGAAAGATAAGTCGTCGTCGCCGCCGGACGGTATTTCGCGAAATTGTGATTTTCAATGCTCGAAACATTCCACCCTCGATTTGCTGCGACCCCGTCGGGATTACTATCGCCCGAATCGTCATCGTTGCTGTCATTCTAACGATCATTGTCATTGTTGCTGCGGCCAGGAGTATAATAGGTTGATATCGTAGAACGACAGCAGTGATAATCATCGATATTGATGAAACTTTGGTATATAAAAAGTATTCGACAGGTATTCTTTTATATTGGCAATGGAAAGACAGTGAAAATCGAACTTAAAGTTGGAGGTAGTAACTGTATTTAGTCTAATATTTTGAGAAGTACTAGAATAATATAGTGGAATATTGTACATTTTGATGGATATTGTATTTTTCATTAACAAATTTTAAAGATAAAATGTAATAAATTATTTGGATCGAATATGTTCCTCATCTTTGGAAGCGATTTTCACTGTGGACGATTGACGATAAAAAGAAATGAGTGTGAAATATTGTTTTGAGATCTACTATATACCAAAGTTTCATTAATATCGGTGATTATCACTTCGAGATGTTCCCTTGCTTCAGGGTAAAGAGAAATCGATATTTTTTTGCATTTTTGTGAAACAATTTTCCTGAATTCTTCCTTTACCTCTTCTACGTCCTCTTTCTTCTCTTCCTCCTCTAGTTCTTCCCTTTCTTTCATTTCTTCTTCCTTTGGTTTCTCGCTTTCTTTCACTTCTTCCATTTCTGTCTCTCCCTCCTTTTCTTACACCTCTTCTTTATCTTCTTCTTCTTCTTCGTCTCCCCTTATTTCTTGCACTATTAAAGTTGTTAATTAATCTCTGTGATTTGCACTTATATGTAAAAATTATTTATCATATTCTTCTACCTTCTTCAAGTTCTTCCTTAACACTTTACCGACCGGTAGCCTATTAACCGGTCAAAGTTTGATTTAACATTTCTACAGGTATAAGAAAAAGCGCGTATATTCCCGCGCAATAGCCTAGAGTCTAAACAGAGCCGGTGTCACCGATGTATCTGTGGCCGAGTGACCGGTCGAAAGTGCGTAGAATGTTCAACCGCTATCGGTCGGTAAAGTGTTAAGGTCTATTTAAACTCGAAAATTCCTGCAATTTTTACCCGAACTTATTTGTGTCACCGATGTATCTGTGGCCGAGTGACCGGTCGAAAGTGCGTAGAATGTTCAACCGCTACCGGTCGGTAAAGTGTTAAGGTCTATTTAAACTCGAAAATTCCTGCAATTTTTACCCGAACTTATTCATTCCAACAGTTACTCGTCGAAAGAGAAACGTCTCGCGTCAGACACCTGTCTCTGTTCCTCGAATTCGAACAATTCCAGAAACTGCTGTCACAAAAATCACGCGACGTGTGAATCGACCTGTAATCACGATTGTTGCGTGAAAAATTCGGAAAAAATCTCCACTCTTCAAGAGCAGAACGACGAGGAATTAGAAGACACCGTGGCAACGATCAATCACAAAGATTCTTTGTGCATTTTGGTGGATAAGTACTTGGTGAATAAAAAGTGCAAACAGAAGAAGTACTTCGGCGAAGCTGAATTCTCGGACGAACGGACCAAAGACGAGTGCGATAAATCGTTCACCTCGGAAACCACCTGTCAGCTGGACGAAACTGGGAACACGAAACAACGGGAGAAATATTCAGACAGCGATGATTGCCGATTTCGAGACCATCGCGCGCCGATAGGTAAACCGTGCAGACACGGTTTCGGACAGATATTCAAGGAAGGGGACTGCGATCAGTTTAAAAACCTGAAGACTCGTTTAACAAAGACTGGTACTTGTTGTTCAGCCAAAGGCACACCTTGGAGACACACGTTTTAGATTTAGAAACGTGTCTTTTTTTCACATTGACAAGTTTTTTGCATTTATATTATTTTTAGTTCACACGTTTATCAGATTTTCTGTTCCCTTTTTTTTTTCACGTACAAAAGTGCTCTCTGTAAGTGCATTTGTATTAATTTTTATTTGTCTGGATTTATAAAGAAATTCGAATGAGATGGAAAGAATAAGAAATGCAACACAAAGGATACAGAAAAATCGTGAAATATAAAATAGAATGGAAAATTGAAATGGTGTAAATTGTAAGGAGTAGAGGATTTTCTATTCAGTTTCTATGTATATACATATATTATCTATGTTCGTTGTATAAAGAAGTTGAAATATATTTTTCAAATTTTCATTAAAACCACCGTAAAGTTTCTGGGTAACGAATTTTCATTCTAATTTTCATTTTCGCGCTCTTCGCCTGAAAAGACCGTGAAAGACGACAGGACGGAAGTTCAATTTCGCGGTACGTACGGCGTCTGCTTCTCGGTGAGTTTATTTTTTAAAGTATATTGCGCTAGTAAAGTTAATAAACTTATTTTGGAGGTATATTGCTTTAATAAAGTTAATAAACGAGCGCATTTATATCATTCTAGTGCATCGGGCGCTGTGCCACCGGTCTCTGGGGAATCACTTGGCTCCTCCTCCGCCTTTTTCCTTTCTTCCTTCGCTTCTTTCTTCGCTTCTTCTCCTCCTTTTCTTCTTTTACATCTTCTCCTCCTCTTACTTCTCTTCTTCCTTTGGTTCTTCACTTTCTTTCACTTCTTCCTCCTTTATATCTTCACTTTCTTTCATTTCTTCTTCCTTTGTTTCTTCACTCGCTTTCGTTTCTTCTTCCTTTGTTTCTTCACTCGCTTTCACTTCTTCTTGCTTTATATCTTCACTTTCTTTCATTTCTTCTTCCTTTGTTTCTTCACTCTCTTTCATTTCTTCTTCTTTTGGTTCTTCACTTTCTTTCACTTCTTCTTCCTTTTCTGTCTCTCCCTCTTTCTTCTCTTCTTCTACCTTGGTTTCTTCTTTTTCTCCTTCTTCGTCTTCTTCTATTTCTTGCACTGTTGAAGTTGTTAATTAATCTGTATGATTTGCATTTATATGTAAAAATGATTTACTATTTTCTTCTACCTTCTTCGAGTTCTTCCTCGAATTCTGGTTCTGATTGCAATTCCGGACTAGTAGTTAAATGTTCTGTCGTAACTGCAGCCTCTGACACTTCTTCTTCTTCCGTTAATGGTTCTTCTGGTATTTCTACAGTAGGTTCTA